GTATGAGATATGAGTGTGGATATGGCTGGTATGAGTGTATTGAGTATGGGGTGTGGTTGTGGGTTTGGGTCCTCTCTTCATCCACATCCATGCTCACACTCACACCAATACCCATAATGCACACCACAATAGCCGAAAAATAGTATAACTGAGGCGTTGTGTAATTGAATTCGCAAAAGTCAGATATTTTTATCTTCAATTTAATTGCAGTGAATTTTGAGCTTTTCGATGAGAAAGAACACACTTCAACGTACTAAAAACATTTTCATCATCATTTATTCTTTTTGAAATTTTCAAAAATATTAGAAATAATATTTTCAACAGTTAGTCATTTTGAATGTGTTCCCTATTCTCTTTTTTCATGTTTTTTTTCGCTTTACGCAGAGAAAGGTTTGATATAGATCTTGTAGAAAACTCGTTGGATATATTTTGAGACTATTCTTAATTCTTCATGATTAAAGTTAAGCGAAATATTCATGAAACACAAAGTTTACGATATTTTCTAATGCGCTCGTTGCTTGTCGAATTCCAAACTTGAAGAAAATCTTCAAAATGAGATATCATCTCATCGGCTATTAATTTCTCGTTTAATTTTTATCTAGTTAAATATTTTGTTCGAAATATCACAAATACAAATCTGACTTGATCAGAAATCATTTCTTCTTCAGAAGTTTATAATCTGACAAACAATAACTTAGCAACTGAACATATCATAGATTGCAAAAAACAAAATTTTTGCTATTTCATATTTTTATTTCAAGGTTCAGACCAAATTTTGGTTCAGAATGAAGATTACATGTATGCTATTCTTACAAATTAAAATTTTCATCGAGGAGATGCATATCTGATTGTCAAAGCAAGCTTTCTAACAAATTGTAATGTTTGTTTCGTTTCTAGGCGTGTTAATAGCATAATAATTACACAAGAATGAGTTTTTCATTTTCATCTACTGACTGATTTCATTAAGAAGTGCAAATAAAAAAACAAAAAGGCTCTCTATGGATTCATTGTAACGAACGAAATATGACTTGGAAGAAGACTAATCCTGTAATAATTATATAGGATCAAAGTCAAAAGTAGTGAGTTGATAAGTGGGTTGATTCTCTTTGAACCGTATTTCTTCACTCAGAAATTTGACGAAGAACATTTCTTGCTTGAAGCACATACGTGAATCGCAGTAACTAGAAAAGAATAGAAGTGAAACTCGAGTGTCATTTTATTTCTCGCTTATTCTGCTTTGGTGGGGTGAGTATGTAGGTATGGATATCGGCCTTATTCTCCTCCAGACCCACACCCTGTAGTTTTTTGAACCAGTAAAACATAATCACTCGTTGCAGTTCGAACTTCAAACAGAACATTTGGATCAGTTCTATTCAATGGTTTGGTGACAACATTTTCCATATAGGTAGGGAACTCATAACGAAGTTTAATTCAAAGATTATTGGTTGTAACATTAAAAAACAGACTGCTGATATAGTCCATATTGATTAAAAACCGTCTATTCATTAGTGTCATTTGGTGTATGATTCAATGCTGACTTGTGCGACTCTTTGTCACAGAGGACATCGTTCACAAAACTCAACGCTGCGAATTTTATCGTGCAGTTCAAACTCTGTTGATACTTTCTGGTGAAATTGAACCTAGAAGGTGTTTTACTATAAAATAGACTTGAACCAGAATGAAATGCGATCGAAAAAATTGTTTTTGTGCTAGTTATATTGCCAGAACATAATTCAAGAGGGGATCCATCTATGAAAAATAAGAGGATAAAATACTTATAAAAAGACTTTTATTTATCTCAGAAAATTTTAGTGACATGATCAGATTCACATTGATAAATCGACTTTTATGAACAGAGATGAAGAGTTGGTGGAATATTTACGTGAGATGTTATCAATAATCAGAAGCATAATGACTAATGAAAATAAAGCAACATTTGATGACTTGTTTTTTCCTATTGACATTTTGTTGTCCATATGAATAAAAAAAAAAAATCATTCCTTCTTCATATGAATTCTAGTGTCAATAGATAATCAACGAACCACAAGCTATTCTATAGAAAATGGAAGCTATAGTTTCTGTAGAAACTCGGTCTCCTAATCAAAGAAAAATTGAACTTGTGATTGAATGATGACACATAATCTCTGTTTATTCTTTAATTTCTCTTATTTGTGAATGTTATTACAAAAATGTAGCTAAATAAAAAGTTAAAGAGAGCCATGAAAAAAAATTCACAGACAATAAAATTATAAACAGTAGGATTTTTACGAGGGTGGGTGTGGATGTCATATTGTTGATATCCACACCTACCCACCCACACCTGAATAAAAAATGCTAAAGAAACTCAACTAAAAGCGATTAATAAAAATTATTTACATGAAAACCAAATACAACAGCAAGTTAATTCAAACAATAGAACTGATCAGTTACAATTAGCAAAGGAGAAAAAGGGATGGGTGTGGGTGGGTG